AAGAAAAAGAAACAGATGACTTTTACTGTCTGCAGAAATTGCACATTGTGGAAGATTGCTCACCAGCTTTCGCTGAGGAGTTAGTTTAGGGGATGCGATGTAAGGTGTCGGTTGTGGTCCACACAGGCCCGGCCGTGGCCTGGAGCGGAGCTCCCAGCAAACTGCAGAGTCTGCTTGAGAGGAGCAGGAGTGAATGCAGATGGCCAATTTCTTTTGGTGACAGAAAAGTTCCAAAAATAGATCATGATGTGGTTGAACGACTCCTTAAACTTACTAAAAATCACTGGATAGTATGCTAGAAGGAAAGAAATTTATCTTATGTAAATTATACCTTAATAAAGTTGTTTTTTAAAAAGGAAGCAAAATTTTAAAGTCAAAACAAAAACACTAATCAATCATACTGTGATCCGCCTGAGGGAAACCTGTGTTGCCAGAAGGGCCTGCCTGGTACCTATAAACAGGAATCTGGGCCGTTAGGATTTTACAGGACGCAGCCTGCACTGTCCGGGAAAGACGCGCCTGCTCGTGAGTGCAGCAGCCCAGTGCTCTCAGCAGACGCGCCTTGTGGGTAACCCGTAGCAAGACATGCGCGTGCGATGCATGACCATCGGTAATGGCTATGAGAACTAGCCAACATTTGTGGACATTTACCGTGTGCTGCATGTGGTTCTAAGACCCTAAAGGCATTATCCTGTTTGATCTACTCAAAAAACTCTCTGACATGGATATAATTATATCTCCACTTACAGGCGGAAACTGAGGCACAGAGAGGGAAGCCCTGACCCTATAACAGAGCTAGTAGTAGTAAATCTTGGATGAAATCAGTGTAGTCTGACTTCAGAAACCACAGCTCTGTATATTTCTCCATATACATAAATATGATCTGTGTCATCATGCACGTTTTGGTGCAATTTATTTGCTTGTCCTTTTTGCAAAGGACACTCCTCACCTCTGCTTCCCTTACCAGCCCTTCATCAGATAACCCATATAATTAAGCTAATGTTTGCATGTGCCTATACAGATGTCCTGATTACAGTGGTTTGACTTTTCAACTTTACAATGGTGCGAAAGCGAAATGCATTCAGTAGAAACCGTACTTTGGATTTTGAATTTTGATCTTTTCCCAGGCAGCGCTATGTGGTGTGATGGTCTCCGGTGACGCTGGGCAGCAGCAGTGGCCGCAGCTCCCAAACAAAAGGTGCTCTGCCCTGCAGTAAACTGTGTTCAGTAATTTACAGGAGATATGCAACACCTTTTTATAAAGTGGTCTTTGCATTAGATGATTTTGCCAAACTGTAGGCTAATGTAAGGTAGACCAGGTTAAGCTATGATGTTCAGTAGTTTAGGTGTATTAAATGCTTTTTTTTTGGAGACAGAGTCTCACTCTGTTGGCTGGGCTAGAGTGCCATGGCGTCCGCCTAGCTCACAGCAACCTCAAACTCCTGAGCTCAAGCGATCCTCCTGCCTCAGCCTCCCAAGTAGCTGGGACTACAGGCATGCGCCACCATGCCCAGCTAATTTTTTCTATATTTGATAGAGATGGGGTCATGCTCTTGCTCAGGCTGATCTCAAACTCCTGAGGTCAAACAATCTGCCTGCCTCGGCTTCCCAGAGTGTTAGGATTACAGGCGTGAGCCACCACTCCTGGCCTTTAAATGCATTTTTGACAACGGTATTTTCAACGTATGAGTGAACTATATCCTGTTAACTAAATATTATTTGAGACAATATGATTAATATAGTCCTGATTAATCTGATTAATACGTTGGAAAATGCTCAATATTTAAATATGCAAAAGCTGTTAAGTGGAATTTCTGTGAAATATTACAATCTTACATTTGCAAAGTGTGAATTGTGACTAAAACTGTTACATCTGAGAAAAAAAAGTAGCCCAGGGCAGTCTGAAGAATGTGAGGAATGCGAAATTTATCTGCAGAGAGACAGGAGAATGAGGCCTGTCTCATTAACTCGTCACACCTGGGGCTAATTGTTCAAAGGTATTTTGGGTTGTTTTTTTTCTTTCCTTTCCTATAGTTTCTAGACTAGCTGATAAATTACCTAAAATGTTACCATAGTTGCTCAATGTGATCCTCACCCATTATCTGCATGTTCCTGGAATTTATGGTACAAAGAAAAATGTACAGCCAGTCGATGGCTTCTGCTATTTTTACGAATCAATGTAAATTCTTGAGAAACAAGAACCACCCCTTCTCCTTTAACCACTTGGGTACGGCGCTCACCGGCCAAAACCTTGCCCACAGCCGGCGCTCGCAGTCCGCACGGTAGTGTGTGCTGTGCATGGACGACGGACCCGTTTTGCTCCTGTGTGACGAGGAAAGCTTTAACGCACTGAAAGCTTGTTTTACTTTACAGGCAGCTTTACTTGTAAATCAGAATAGGTAACATATACATATATGTTTTTATTACATTATTTATAAATGTTCACAATTTTATTTTGATAAATGAAAAATTAGAAAAGTCATATCACGGCTGTCGGCTAAAGTCGCTGTGCGCGTTCATCTGTGGCTGTGGACTGCAGTGGACGCTGGTCGCTGGTACCGAAGTGGTTGAAACGCCCCTTGTAACTGCTGATAATGGGAGGATATATGCAGGGCGGCTTGAATCTGTGTCTCCAGAGTTGTAGTCCTCAAATTTGGCTCAGATTAACTTTGCACTTATATTTACTCGTTTAGGCCAGCACATCGCTTTTCCCTCAGAAACCCCCACAGTGCCTGTGGCCCACTGGAGAGATCACTGGGTTTCACGTTTTGGGGGTGCTGGTCTCAGTGACAAGACTCTGGGAAGGAGAGAGCCCATAGGGACCTGAGGATCCCCCTGTGGCCGGGCCAGCTTCTTTAAGTCTTTTCTGTCGGCTTTCATTTCTAATCAGTGAGGCGCCATCGAGCCCAACGAGACCACATGCGCCCCGTTTTCCAATTCTCCGGGCTGTCGTTCTTTATCTGGACTCATTAGCTCTTGGCTGGTCTCGCCCCACAGGGCCTGATGGGCTTTCCTGGCTCTTCCATGATTCCTCAGCCTGAGGTCTGTCTGTCTTCCCAGGGGAGCCACTGCCTGCACAGCCGCTGGCACAGAGTAGGCACCCGGCGAGTGCAGGCCTTCCGCTCCAGCTGTCGGGGGTGAGTCCAACCTAACAGGGTTCACTGGGGAATACGGTTTGCTGCTATTGATTGTAACAATCAGAATTGAAAATATGGAGCAATCAGACTTAGCACCTCAGAGAGGGGGGAAAGTCTAGGTTGGCCAGGAGCAGAGCAGCCGGGTGGCTTTTTTACCACCACAACAGCTGATGAAGGTGACAGTGCTGTGTCACAATGGCCTCAGGGACAGACAGTGGGAGGCGCCTCTGACTGCCCCACTGGTGCTGATGGGCGGGGTACAAGCTCACCCATCCTGAGCAGATGTTAGATGCAGAGGCCAGATTGCGTCCCCATGTGTGGGTTTTACACCTGAACACATTCTACTGTTAAGAGCAACCTTTATTACTGAAATTTTCGTAGGAAAAATGAACTTGGTCAGAGTATAAAACTCGCAATCCCACCTTTGAAATCATTGCTTTCAAATGCAATACTGGAAAGCCTGAATTTTCTTGGGTAAGCAACTACCCTATTGTGTTGCTGATTTAATGGAATACTTCTTGCTAAAATAATTAATAGAATTTATTTTTTAGAGCAGTTTTAGGTGGACAGAAAAACTGGTCAGAAAATACCGAGTTCCCGCACGCCCCTCCCCTGCACACAGCTCCCCTTGCTGTGGCGGCTGATGAGCCAACGTAGATCCATGATCACTAACTACAGTCAGTTTCCTCTTGGTGTGCTACATTCTGCGAGTTTTGACAAATGTATACCGGCATATGTCCACATTATAGTCTTGTACAGAACAGTTTTAGTGTCCTAAAAATCCACAACGCTGCAGCTTTTTACTTTCTATAAGCTGCTCTGGGTTACCCCTCCTCCAGCAGAGTTCTGATCGGATCCGCACTGGCTCAAACCCTCAGGGGCTTCCCTGGCCCGGGCGGACAGCCCCACTGGCCGGGGCAGGGTTCTTCATCCCCAGCCCCAAGCCCCAACTCCACCCCGGCCCTTCCCGGCGGTTCCCCCGGCCGTGGCGTCTGGGCATTCCCCGCATGCGCCCTCGCGCCTCTGCGCCTGTCCGGGTCTCTCCCCACCAGGAGCCGCTCCGCGCCTGCTCCCCACCGCCGCAGCGTGCTCGCAAAGCCCCCAGAGCTGCCCCCGGGGCTTCTCCGTTCCCTCGCGGTTGTCACCCCCCTGCTCTGAGCCTCTCTCATGGTGTCCCTGTGTCTCCTCAGCGTCGCTTCCTGTTTTCCACCTTGTCTAGTTGCTCTTGACTTGTTTTCCCCAGCTGGGCGCCGTGGATGGCGCACACGCTCCGGAGCCGAAGCCCTTCTCGCCAGCCGCTGGGCCGGGTGTTTGGAGCACGCGCGAGCCGAGCGAGGCTGTGAGCACGGCTCCGCCCCCGGCGGCGCGTGAGGATCGAGTGCGCGGCCCAGGAAGGGTCGCTGTGCGTTGCAGCTGTCCAGTCCCCGCCGCCACTGCCGCCCACTAGCACGGCCCGCCCTCACGCCCACGGCCCCTCTTCGCAGAGGCGAGCGCTAGGGGGCAGCGCCCGCCCACTCGTCCTCGCGCGCTCCGAGGCCCGGCGCGAAGCTCACGGCAGGGCCAGCGCACCTTCGGCGCGACGCCCCCAGGCGCGGGGCCCGCCAGAAAGGCAGCCTGCGGCCACAGGGCGGAGCTGCGGGCGGCACAGGGGCATTCTCGGAGCAGGCTCCGCGCCAACCGGCCCCGGCCCTCCTCCCGCCCTGCGGAGGGAACACGGTAACGGGCGTTTTGTCGAGTAGTGTCGCCCGCGGTTCAGAGTCGCTGAGTCGCAGGCGTCGGCAGTGGCGCGGCGGGGCAGCCCGGGTGCGCCAGGACAGCGCGGCGGAGGACGCCAGGCTTACAGAAACGGAAAAGCACTGGTACCTGGTGTGGGCCGGGGAGATCCGCACCTGCCGCAGTTGCTCGGTGGGGGCAGCGCTCGGGCTGCGGGCGGGACCCCAGAAGGAAGCAGCCGCCGGCGGTGGAGACCCAGGAGAGGAGCTGTCAGCGCGCAGCAGGCTGGAGGAGGGACAGATTTCCTTCGTGTTTCCCATGAGTAACTCCAACTGCGCCCCCCATCTCTGCACAATCCTTTCTGCTTCCGTCCTTTGATGCCCGAGAAAAGCCGTGAAGGGAGCGGGCCAATGTGCGGAGTGGGGTGTAGCCAGTCTGGAGACCCTGGCCGGGGTCCCCACCTCAGCCTCGTGTGCCATCCTCAAGGCCACGGTGTGCCTCTGGGTGCTCCCGGAAGCCTGAAATGCCAGGCGGCACACGGGAAGGAAAGATGGGAGATGCAGGGCAGGTAGCAGAAGGGCGGGAGAGGGTGGGGCGGATCAGAAACAGTAAAACCCCATCCAATACAATCGCCACGGAAAGCGGCCTGTGCTTAATGTTGGGGTCCCAACAGTCCCCAGGGGACATCATAAATTGCATGAGCCATGGCCTCAGGGGTGGCCTTGATGACTGACAGGCTTGTGGGGACAGGGGACAGGAAGCAGAGCCAGCACCTGGCCGCTGTGGATGACCAGTGCATTCACCTCCACCGTTCACCTGGAGAGAGGACGCTCCCTGCCACTGCCTCCCTCTCCTTTCAGATCCTCGCCTCTGCGAGGCTGTCCCCTCTCAAGGCTGGACAAGGGCGAAGGAGGAGAAAGGACACCGGGTGGGGGCAGCACAAAGCCAGGGCCGAGAGCCCATGGGCACACGGTCGGCGGGGAGGATGCAGGCACAGAGGGCTGGAGCAGGGCAGGGCTGCCAGTGGTGAAGACGAAGGGAGGAGGGAGACTGCAGGCTCGGTGACAGCTGGGACCCAGCTTCCTGTGACCCTCCTGGAAGGAGATGAAGGAGCCTCCCAACGCTGAGTGGTAGAAATGAACCCCAACACCACCTCGTCTTTCCGTCTCTCTCCCACCACCCGCGTCACCCCACCTCTTGTTGCCAAGCCCAGACTGGCTGAACTTTCACTTTTCTGTGTTCCTACAACACCCCGTGACTACACGCGTGGCCGCACTTACCGTCTGTTCTGTGACTGTGCACGTGGCCATCTCCGTGGTGAGTCTCCACACTGGAGCCCCACGGCCTAGCCCCTACCTGGCATGTGCCAATGCTTAGTAACTGTTGAGTAACTGTCCATTGTGACATCTGGACATTCCCAAGGTCACATAATCTTCCTGCATGCAGGTAATGGGGGGGAGGACAGTGGAGGATGGAGAGGCATCAGTGAACACTGAGTGGATGAATTGCGAACATGATCTCTCTCTCTCTCTGTCTCCCCCCCTCCCTTTCTGAGACAGGGTCTCACTATGTTGCATAGGCCGGTCTCAAACTCCCAGGCTCAGGCCATCCTCCCGCCTCAGTCTCCCAAGGACCCAGGTGAATATAATTTCTAATCCATCAAGTTTTTGCTTTTATTAGACATGGGCAAAGTGCGAAGGAGAAACTGAGGCAGTTGAATAGATGGGAGGCAGACCCACGCTCCCTACACTTGCCCAGAATGCGGAGAAGTGGGCTGGGGCTGCCTGGCTGTGCAGATTCTCTGCCTGACCCATGCAGCTGTGCTTGGAACTCCATCACCACCTTGGGAGGTTCTTGCAGCAATCACTGAAAATTTTACTGAAATAATCATTTGCCCAGAATGGAGTCTATTGGGCAAATAGTGTGATTGAGGGCTACTAACTTCTGAGAATTGTGGTAACATACACATAACATAAAACTTACCATTTTAACCTTTTTTAAGTATGCAGTTCAGCGGCATTCAGTACGTTTACACTGTTGTGTGATCATCATCACCTCCTCCCATCTCCAGAACTTTTTCATTTTCCCAACTCTGCCCATTAAACACTAACTCCCCAGCTGATGAACATTTGGGTTGCTTCAGCCTTTTGCTATTGTGAATAACACTGCTGTGAACTTGGATGTACAAGAAAGCTAACCTAGTTAAGCAAAAATTAATAAATACAGAAACCATTAGATATGTTTGATATTATGGAATCTTCAGTAGGGCGACCACGTAATTTACCAGCCAAGTGTGGTCACTTCTGAGACCACTGCTAATAATTCTGCGGTGACAACAGGCATATACTAGGACTGTATGGGGCAAACTAGGCTACAGGCTCATCCTCATCTTTTGGGATGGAATGGCAGCGTTTTGGTGTGGTTAATAATAAACACAGATGGGCTGGCCATGCGCGGTGGTAATCCCAGCACTTTGGGAGGCCACGGCAGGAGGATTGCTTGAGGTTAGGAGTGTGAGACCAGCCTGAGCAATATAGCAAGACTCTGTCTCTACAAAAAAAAAAAAAAAAGGAAAAATTAGCCAGACACGGTGGCATGCCTGTAGTCCCAGCTACTGGAAAGGCTGAGGCAGGAGGATCAAACTGGGAAGTTCCAGCACAGTTGTAGACATGGAAAAAATTTTTGTTGATTGATGGAATGAATGAATGGATCGAATACTCGAAAATAAGGAAATAAGGAATAAGAAAAGGTCTGTAGAAGCACCAAATAGGTCAGATTGACTTAATTTTCTGACAAGAGTGAGGGAATTTGACTTATCTCATTATACCTGATAACATGCCTGCCTCGGGGTACTCATGAAGAACTTCATCTAGGAGTGTGCAATCTTTTGAGGCTTTCTTAGAAATGCCCCCAATAGTCTATAAGTAACTGTCATCAAAGGACAGTTTCACGGCTGAATAATTAAGGCTCCATCAGCAACGCTTAAACTATGGTAATAACTGGTCAGTATTTAGTCCATAGATTCATGTGAAAAAGAAAAAAAAGATTTAAAATATTATCTCCTAAACCCACAAGGACAAATAATGTATGGTTCCACTTATATGAGGCACTTAGAGTAGTCAAATTCATGGAGACAGGAGGTAGAATGGTGGTTGCCAAGGGGCTGGGGGAGGGGGAATGGGGAGTCTTTGTTTAATGAGGTCAGAGTTTCAGTTTGGGAAGATGAAAAAGTTCTGGAGACGGATGGTGGTGATGGTCGCACGACAATGTGAATGTACTTAATGCCACCAAACTATATACAAACAATGGCTAGCCTGGTGTGGCGGCACGCACTTGTAGTCTCAGCTACTCGGGAGGATGAGGCAGGAGCATGGCTTGAGCCCAGGAGTTCGAGGCCATGGTGTACTGTGTTCACACTTGTGATTGCCCACTGCATTCCAGCCTGGGCAGCACATTGAGACCCTGTCTCAAAAACAAACAAACAAAAAAAGGTTAAAATGGTAAATTGTGTGTTATGTATATTTTACCACAGCCACAATAAACAAAAGAAACACACCGTGTCTCCAGAGAAAGGCCAGGCCCGGCGCCACCTGAAGTGCAGCTCAAAGGAAGTCCCTTCCTTTCATGTCTTCCTGAGATGTCAAACTTGGTCTTTTGAGCTGAGAAAACTCAGGCTCAAAAGAGTCAGGATACTGATAACTAGAATATACTTAGAACTCACGAAAATTAGGAAGAAAAAATCAAATAACCCCATTAAAAAGTGGGCAAAGTTACAAGTACATGAATGGGCCTAAAAAGGAAAAATAAAAAAAAATAAATAAATAAAAAGTGGGCAAAGGACTTGAACAGAAATTTTTCTAAAGAAGACAGAAGAATGGCCAACAAACATATGAAGAAATGCTCAACATCTCTAATCATCAGGGAAATGCAAATCAAAACCACAATGAGATATCACTTAACCCCAGTGAGAATGGCCTTTATCAAAAAATCTCCAAACAATAAATGCTGGCGTGGTTGCGGAGAGAGAGGAACACTCCTACACTGCTGGTGGGACTGCAAACTAGTTCAACCTCTGTGGGAAGCAATATGGAGATACCTTAAAGCGATACAAGTGAATCTACCATTTGATCCAGCAATCCCATTGCTGGGCATCTACCCAAATGATCCAATGACACTCTACAAAAAAGACACCTGCACTCGAATGTTTATAGCAGCACAATTCATAATTGCAAGGCTGTGGAAACAGCCCAAGTGCCCATCAATCCAAGAATGGATTAATAAAATGTGGTATATGTATACCATGGAGTACTATTCAGCTCTAAGAAACAATGGTGATATAGCACACCTTATATTTTCCTGGTTAGAGCTGGAACCCATACTACTAAGTGAAGTATCCCAAGAATGGAAAAACAAGCACCAGATATATTCTCCAGCAAACTGGTATTAACTGAGCAGCACCTAAGTGGACACATAGGTACTACAGTAATAGGGTATTGGGCAGGTGGGAGGGGGGAGGGGGGCGGGTATATACATACATAATGAGTGAGATGTGCACCATCTGGGGGATGGTCATGATGGAGACTCAGAATTTTGGGGGGAGGGGGGAAACGGGCATTTATTGAAACCTTAAAATCTGTACCCCCATAATATGCCGAAAAAAAAAAAGTGTCAGGATAAAGTGCTCGCTTCGGCAGCACACACACTGAAACTGGAACGATAACAGATTAGCATGGCCCCCGCGCAAGGGTGACACGCAAATTCGCGAGGCGCTCCATATTTTTTAACATGGTAGTCGAAGTGCAGGAATGTGTTCAAAGATCAACAGATTTGACTTTTAAACACTGTCTCAAAGCCAGCATAACTAACTACTTTGATTGGGGGCTGATCTTCTTTTTTAACAATTAGATATGTTAAATTAGATAATCCACTTATAATATGTTCCTCTCACTGCAGTTTTCTGCACTTTTAGCCTTTTTCCTCTTTGTTATCTGCCAGAATGTGTTTCTGTAAAGGCTCAGCAGTGGCAGAGGACAGAAAGCTCATCTGGGATTTTCCTGCTGTGACTGCACATTCTTCCGATTAACAACAGACACTTGCATGAGGCTTTTGGTTAGTGCTTTTTCGCACGCATTTCTCTTAAGCCTCACAGATCTCTGCTGTGATATCCTCTTGTAAGATGCAGTCGCCTCGTCACCTGGTGAGCAGGGACAGAGCCAGTAGTCAAGTGAAGCACCAAGCTGCAAGACCTTTCAAGAAGTCATCGAGTTGATCTGACCTCCGCTGCCTGGCTGCAGCAAACCCCGTGCACGGCCTTTCCTGAGGCCACAGCAGGGCTTCCTGCGGCTGAAGTTCGTGCAGGTCACCATCTGCACGGACGCCACTCCAGTGCGGCCTTCAGTCCAGCAGCATCAGCTTCACTTGAGGCTCTTAGAAATGCAGGTTTCTGGGGCCCACCCCAAGCCCCTGAAGCGGCGTGTTATCTGGGCTTCAGCATGTCTTCCATGTGTTTCTGATGCTCATTACAATTTGAGAACCACTTTAGAAATTTTACTTTAGCCTGGCATTCCTCAAACTGTGTTCCATAAGGATCACATGTCCTGGGAGCCAGTGGTTGTTCCAGGTGCTCCCCGGAAAGGTGAAGTGAGTTTGGGGAAGGCTGCATCTATACACCCCTCTCGAAGGTGTGGAATGTATGTTAACATGTCAGTGGAGCCTGTTACTTAACCCAGCAAGTCCCAAACACATTAGACTACGGACATTTTATGGCAAGGAAACTCTGGCAAGTTTCTGGGGAACACTGTGCTAGGCTGAGATGACCTTAGGACAACTCACGCAGACCCTTCACTCCCTGCAAGAAATTAGGAAGAATAACTCCCTGTGGTATTGTTGGTTCTGAACTTTTGCAGTTCAGGTCTGCCATGAATCTTGGTGAAGCTTTACGGTGACACTGTCATACAACAAAGTAGATGTCAATGTCGCTGAAATACACATTATGTGTAATAAGTGCTTTTCTAGAATGAGGATGGGAATTACTGTACCTTTTATATAATTAATTAATTAATTAATTTTGGGGGGCAGAGTCTCACTCTGTTTCCCGGGCTAGAGTGCTGTGGCGTCAGCCCAGCTCACAGCAACCTCAAACTCCTCGGCTCAAGCAATCCTCCTGCCTCAGCCTCCCAGGTAGCTGGGACTACAGGCATGCGCCACCATGCCCCGCTAATTTTTTCTATATATGTTTTTAGTTGACCAATTAATTTCTTTCTATTTTTAGTAGAGACGGTGTGTCACTCTTGCTCAGGCTGGTTTCGAACTCCTGACCTTGAATGATCCACCCACCTCAGCCTCCCAGAGTGTTAGGATTACAGGCGTGAGCCACCGCGCCCGGCCTACTGTACCTTTTATTTTTATTTTTTATTTTATTTTTTTTTTTTTACTGTACCTTTTAAATGAGACTGATTTCAGAGTAGCATTATACAGTTAGTACTACCTTACATATGATAAGTGTTAAAAGAACATATAAATATAATTTATATACTCATGAAATTTCAGTTACTTTGTAAGATTTGGGCCTGCCCCTGA